TTTTTTTTTTTTGTGTTCAGCTCAGTGTTGTTGGCAAACATCTGAAAAAGAAGTATACCTTTGATGAAATCATTTAAAAGGCAAGCGAAAACGTCAGGAACAAAAATAAATGGTTAATTTTTCTTTTGTTTACAAAAAAAAAAAAAAAAATTACGAAAATAAATCTATTCTTCAAACATACTCGGCAGGCTGTGCTTGTGAAGGCTTTGAAGATGACCCGTTTGGACAAAATGAGAGAGTCATGCGCATCGATTTTAAATCTGACAGCTGCTTGTTAACCGGACAGGAACACCGATTCAATTACAGTTGCTTTTTCTTTTTTGCACTGGCAACACCGGCCACAATGATTAACTTGATTATAATGTATTAGTCAAAAGGATGCTCAGAAAATATTTCCAATTTAATGCAATTGTTAGGAAAGACGTAGATTCCTGAAAAATAAAAAAAAAAAATTTGGTGACTGTTATAGACAGTCTAAGAAATTGACCAAAAAGGTGTGCCATTTGACAAATGCAGTGTTACAGATACCACTGGAGATGATTTGTGATCAGAGAAAAGAGAAAAAGATTATATTTTAACGTGAATTGGTACATGTTAACTGATTTTTCAGTTCAAAACTTTTAATGATTTGTGAAAGTTAGGCAGATTTTGATAAGGATGACTGATGATAGAAAATATGGATCTGTTCTTTAGATTTACAGAAATAAAACTACTTTGACTAAAGACTAAAACTATGTATAGGTGCAGTTTTTAACTTTAACTGATTTAATAAGTGTGCATCATAAATAAAACATTCAAAAAATAAACTCCGACCACAAGCTTTTAGCACTCAATTTCTTAGGTCGTTAGATAAACTATTGACGATATTTGGAGCTGAAAAAAAGTCGGTAACAGAGTATGCTAAAATGTGCATTTCGGAAATGCATTGAATATCAAATATCCATATGAAAAATAGACTGAAATTTTCAGAAAATAACAGGAATAAATCTTTTTTATAAATACTTTTTATTTTGCACTCCATTATAGATTAAACCGCAAAAAAAAAGAATAAACAAGAAAAGAGTTATTTACGGCTTCTTCGTCGAAGAAACCTATTTGTCTAATATAGGTATTCAGTTTGAAATAAAACAGCCGACCAAGACCAAAGGGGATAAATGAGAAGGAAACTGTTTGTTCAAATTTCCATGTTTTCAGACTGCTGCAGTTGTTGTTGATGCTGCTTTTGGCGTTGATGATGCTGAAGAAGAAAGCCGAGCAGCAGTGACGAAGATGAAAAATGAACGAGGACGAATTCTGGGAATGCCCAAAAAAAGCTGCTTGCTGAAGTGTATCGATCAGTACAGATGTCAATATGCATACGCGCCTTACGCGTTTCTGGACGTCCTGTGCTTGCTGGCTTGCTTGCTTGGCTGCTTGGATCTAGGCCCCAGCTGTGCGTGTCATAAGCCGCTATGGCCCATGGGAGCTGGGAGCAGGCAGCTTCCGCATTCTCGGCTAGTCATTGTTCTTTCCGCTTTTGGAGTTCAACAATTGTTGGCTGTCGCCAAAATGGTTTTTGGTATTTGGCTGAAGCAAAATAAAATATCA